ACACCCGATCCATCGACAGGGCTCTGGGCTCTCCCTCAGAATGCACCCCGCTTCTCACGGCCTTTCCTGTGAGCGCCACGGACTAAGCTGCCTCTTGGCCCACGTCCTTACTCCTACCCTGGGCCCGCTCAAGGCCAGAGTGCCTTCTCCAAGCAGCAGTCAGACCGTGTCTCTGCGGGGCTTAAATCGTGTTCTCACTACTCCCCGGCCGCCTGACCTTCCTTCAAGCATGACACGCACATCTCACCTCGGGGCCTTGGTTGGCACTTGCTCTTCCCGTCTCTCACTTCACCATGTGACACCAGGGGGGTCCCACCTCGCACACCCTTCCTCGAAGAAGTTTTCCTGGGCCACCCTTGTCTGCTCCAGTTCATTTCCTTCATCACTCACTAGTCTATTTTTTGCCTGCCTCTCCTATTAGGATGTAAGTTCTACAAGGACAAAGGCTGTATCTGTCTCATTCACTTAGAATGGTGACTGGCACACGGAAAAAGCTCAACAAACATTTGTTTAATGAATCTGGCCGAGAAACGGGGGGGGGTGCACCAGATGACCTCTGACTTGATTTGGTCAAAAACTGGAGTATAGAGCTCCCTGTGTCCCGGGGTTCCTGTCGCCCTTCCCGGCAGAAGGGGAAGGCAGGGCGGTAGTAAGGGCTGTGGTTTCAGGGGAGAACTTGCCAGCTGGGTGGAGCGCACACCACCAGTGGGTCCCACTTCCTATGGAGGCAAATCCTATAAAAAGCCCCATCTGTCTGTCAGGCCACTGCCCTTCCAGTCCACTCTCTCCCCTCTCAGGTGGCCTCATTGGCTGGGCAGAGCAGGGTAGCTGCAGCCAGACCTGTACATTCTGAGCCTCCTCCATCCCCGGCACACGTGAGAATCACCAGGCAGGCTGCCCCATCCCCCCCCACCCCAAGTCATCTTGGGCATCCCTCTATCTCTATTGCATAACAACGGCCATCTTGTGTCCCATCTCTTTGGGCCACCCATTCTCCTACTCTGTCCCTTAATTTCCGTTAGGGTCATCCCCTTACCCTCTCCACATGTACCTTGATGGGCCCAAGAGAACAGCAAAAGGAGAAAGGGAGGTAAGGATCAAGAAATGTCGGGACCAGCAGTTAGTGTAATGGCTATGTTGCTGGACTCCCATGCAGTCGACCGCGGTTCGAGTCCCAGAGCCGGTGGCTTAAAACTCACACTGGGCACGTGTGCGTGCATGCCCAAGATCCTGAGAGGAGAATGGAGGAGAAGGGATTGTGGCATGGTCATTCCCTTGGGAGGAGATTTCTTGCTTTCTGTCTGTCTCTCTTTCTCTCTGCCTGGTGAGTGCATGCGCCCTATAGCAAAAACCTCTCAAAAAAAAAAAAAAATGTCTGCCAGGAGGTATCCTCAGCCAATCAGAGCACAAAGGTCCCTGACAGAGTGGTGAGGAACTATAGTATGAGACACTGGGGAAGTCACTCTATCTTCCAGTGCCTCGGTCTAAGACAATGTGACTGCAGGTTGTGCGGTGGATATGGACCCTGGACTCTCACATGGCCGACAAGCAGTTCGAGTCTCAGACTGGCGACTTGCTTTCTCACTTTCCCTTTCTCTCTCTCATTCTGTCCCTCTCTGGTCAAAATTTAAATAAATAAATAAAGTTAAATAAAATGATTCATTAAAAAAATTGATATAAGGGAGCATGCACTTGCTGGAGAGAGATGGTGAAAGAGTGAGAAAGCATCCCGGGGAGAAGGCCACGTCACAATGCTTTCTCCACTATTCTCCTCTTGGGATTTTGGGCACACATGCATACGTGCCTGGGGTGTTTTTAAAGCCACTGGGTCAGAGACTAGAACCGCAGTGTTCAGCATGTGAAATCCAGCTGCCTTAACCACCCACCAGCCCCAACAATGAGATCTTTTAGCCTGCGTTTTATGTTCTAGTGGAATTAAAAGAATAAAATATATTAATGCCCATAAAATGCTTTCAAAGACCTAAAGCACTGTACGAATTGTTCACTGTTAATAAGAGAAACAGGTGAAACAAGGAGGGTGGAAAGGGATAGACTGGCAGAAGTAAGAAACCTGGAAGGTTCTGGGGTTTAGGGTGAAAAAATTCTGCTCTGATAATCAGAACTAGGAGGGAGATGGAAAGAGAGGCAGAAACTCACTTCCATCTAGAGAAAAGGCTGAAGGACCCAGAAGAGCAGACAATAAGAAAGAAGCAGAAAGGGCCGGCAGGTGGTGTGGTGGTTAAGGACGCTGGACTCCCACATGGATGACCACTGTTCAAGTCCTGGACCTAACAGCTTGCTTTCTCACTTTCTCTCTCTCTTTCTCTCTCTCTCTTTCTCTCTCTCTCTCTCTCTCTCTCTCACACACACACACACACACACACACTGTCCCTCTCTGTTCACATTCAAATAAATAAATAGAGTTAAATAAAATAATTCTTTAAAGAAAATAAAAGGAGCAGAAACCTCACCATCGAGGTATACTTACTGTAAGCCTTGCCCTTTGCACCTCTGCTTAGGTGAATACTCCCACCTAAATTGACAGAGGGTGGGCCACTTCTCAGTCTGGCTTAAGCAAGGTCTCTCAGGAGGAAGATGATCCCCTTGTAGTTCTACCTGCTCCTCAGCACCCCTTCTCCCTTCTGCAAGGTAACACCTGGCATTTGGAGCTACCAGTTTTCCGAATCTTAAGTTTCTGGTTTTCTGAGCACCCGCAGGTAACAGGGTCACACACATTGCCTCACTAAGGGCTTCTTTTATTGGGGGAGGGGGTCCCTATAGGGTGCGTGCATTTGCCAGAAAGACAGAGAGACAGAAAGCGAGAAATCCCACACCACAATCCCTTCTCCTCCATTCTCTTCTCAGGATCTTGGGCACACATGCCCAGCGTGAGTTTCAAAACACCAGGTCCGGGACTCGAACCGCAGTCGACTACATGGGAGTTCAGCAACATAGACATTACACCAACTGCTGGTCCCACTAAGGGCTCCTAATTCTATATCCTGGAGGTTGAGCAGAGGCTCAGAAAGATACAAGGCTGGCCCAAGACCCAAGATGGTGCAGCTAATAAGAAAAGTGAGAGACCCTAGAGAGAAATGGGCCTCAACTGCTCCTTTGTGAAGCAGCTTTCCTCCTCCTCCCATTTACGAAATCCTTCCTGAAGGCCAAATGTGAACAGCAGAACAGGGTGAAAGAGCAGGGCTAGAAGCAGCTATGGGAGAAGGCACAGACACTGGCTGCACAGAAAGGTGAGGCCAGGCATTTCCACCTCTAGGCCCACCTGACATTTCCTTCCCAAATTCCCAAATTCCCAAATTCGTAATCCCTCCTGGCGTCACACACAGCCCCAACCCCATTTCTCTAAAGGCTGATCCATTCATCAACTCCTCTGTCCCTGCCTGGATACAGCAATTCCTCCAAGCTTCTTGCCTCAGTTTCCCTCTTACCAAGATGAGCCAAGAAGCACTGATGGGGAAACTGAGGGCCAAAAGAGAACATGGCCAATAGAGAGGGGCAGGAGGGTTCCAGACCCAGCACCGTCCTGATCGCCCTCTTCCCACACCTACCCCTTTCTCCCGCCCCCAGGGTCCTGTGACTGTGAACCCTGAATTTTTCTAGGCGGGCCCAGTTGAGCCAAGGGTGGCTTGGCTCGGCTGGCGGGGTAACTGAAACGCATGTGGCTCCCCGCTCCCCGACTTTCCCCAACTCCCCTTTGAGAATTAAGGGAAACCCTTCAAAGACCCTCTAGGTTGGAGCTCGGTCAGTCAGCCACCTCCAGCAGCCGCCAAGACCGCGCCGCACCCCCTAATCGGGTCCCCCTCGCCCGCCCCCGGCTTTCGCCCTCACCTTGACCTGCGCCCGCTCCCCCGCCCGGCGCTTTGCATAAACAAAGAGAGGAGGAGGGACGACACCGGCGCCGCCCCCGCCCCGCTGGCGCCCCCAGCTCCAGTCCCTGGACCCCAAGCCAGGCCCGATCCCCAGCGCTCCTCGCGGCCAGCGGGTCCGCCGGCCTCTTACCTTGGCCTGGCATTTCCGATGACAGGAGAAGCTGCAGACTGCAAGAGGGCGAGACACAGAAAGAAAGTTTTAGCCGCGAGGTCTGGAATGGAAACTCCGGCGAAATCTCCTCCCACCCCGCCCGCAATCCACGCTCGGGAGGGAAGGAGGGAAGGAGGGACGGAGAGAGGGAGGGGGCGGAGGGGAGCGGCCGCTGCAGCTCCCCCGGGCCTGCGGGGCGGGAACGCCCGCCCGGGACTGCGGACCGCGGGCGGAGGCGCCGAGCCCCCATCGCCAGAGCCCCTCCGGGCGCGGGGAGGTGGGAGGAGCAGGGGGGCCTCCTGCTCCCCGCTGGACCCTTGCCAGGGCAGAGGTAGCCCAGACTCAGGTACCAGCCCCGCCAAGGAATAAGGGGGGGGCCTTCTCCCCTTACACACACCCAAAGGCAGGCACTCGCCAACCACCGTCCCATTCACTCTGCCCCAGAGACAGACAGGCAAACCCAGTGCAGGGTCCAGGAGGAGCCCCCCTACCACCCGCACACATAAACACCCATACACACTCACCCAGAACCACTCCCACCCGTGCACACAGCCATGTACACACACGTACAGCCACACACATGCTCACACCAAGGACATCCCATGGCCCGGGGACACCAGCTCACACACAGTTCCATGGGTCTCAGAGTCCGGCCTCACAAAGATTCGTGGACACAGACACACACGGACAGATGCTCATACAAACTTCATGTGCATGAGTTGAAACACATACACTCCTGACATCTCCCCCCTTCCACCACCAAAGCTGGAATCAAATTTCCTATCAGGTTCCTAAAGCCTGGAATGTCCCCAGTCCTGCGGCCCCATCCCCAGAGCCCTGGGACTCCGGAGGGATTTGGCTATGCCTCCCACCAGGTCTCCAGATGGAGCCTGCTGGTTTCTGCACAGATGTATGGCTCCTCTCAGCCCAGGACCTGCTGAAGCAGGTGGGCACTGGTTAGAGAACTGGGGAGGGGAAGGCAGGGACCCCAAATTCCTGACAGCCACAACCCTGAGCCACAGCCAGCTGCTCCTTCTCTCGGACATACAGCCCCCCCACCCCTTCCAGCTTTGAGCCAACCTGATTCTCAGCCACACACACACACACACACAACACACACACACACAGAGAGAGATTAAGGCCTGGAGTGACCGAAAGAGCTTCCCAGGGCTCCCCACAGTAAGGCCTCTGGTTTGTCTGAGGCAGAGCAGGCTGGAGTGGGGGTGGGTGGGGGAGAAGCTTAGAGGCAATCGGGGTGGAGTCTAGGATGTGACCTTGGCTACTGGCCCTAACATGAGACCTTCTTCTCTCGTCCTGGCCCCCGCTCAGTCCTGTGACTCAGTCGGTGCTGAGCAAGGCTTTCCTGACCCCTCCAGCCACCAGGCCCAGCTCAGGGACTTCTCCACCCTGGCCACGCCAGGACATTCCCACCCATCAGCCAGCAAGTCATAGCCATCCATGCTTCTCCTCTCTCCCAACGCCCGCCTCAGGGGGCAGCACGTCCCTTCCAGAAGATGGTCCCTCCCTGACGCCAGCAGCCGCCCACCCCAGGTCTTCTTTGCTGCCCTTGGAATGGACTTGAGGAAGCCTTGGCCGAGGAGTCTAAGCTGGGAGGCCCTCTTTGGGTCATTACCTCCAGAGAGAGGGAACCTCCCCTGAGCCGCCATGTTCCTGCAGTATGAGCTCCTTCAAGATATCTCTCTCTCTCTCTCTCTCTCTCTCTCTCTTTCTTTCTCTCCCCTCGGTTCTATCTCCCTCCCTCTCTTTCTGTCTCCCCCCGCCTTACATACACACAATGCCTGGAACACAGTAGGGGCTGAATCAGTATTTGTTGAGTTGGACTTTACTGAAGCTCATCTGTGGAGTTTATGTGATGGTTTAATTATCCCCAGCTTGCCCTCAGTTCTTTTCCAAGTTGTAATCTGTCCCCACCATCTCATAATCAACGCACCTGTGCGTATCCATTCTGTGCCACCAACCCCTGTCTGGACACTGAGGCCCAAAGAAGGCCAGGGCTCCATCTTCCTCCAGCACACTGCACTTCGGGTGCTTTCTGGAAGGCACCAAGCTCTTTCCTACCTCAGGGCCTTTGCACTTGCTGCTGCCACTGCCTGGAATACTCTCCCTCATCCCAGCAGCCCACTGTTCATTGGGCAGAATTCTTCTTATCCTTCTCAATCCACTCAAAGCCATCTCCTTAAAGAGGCCATCCTTGGGGACCAGCAGAAGGCGTACCAGTTATGTCACTGGACTCCTACGTAGCCAACTGCAGTTCAAGTCTGGACCCAGTGGCCTGAAACTCACGGTGGGCACACATGCATGTGTGTCTGAGATCCCTGGAGGAGAATGGAGGAGAAGGGGTCACAGCGTGGCCATCCCCCCTGGGGGTTGACTTCTCACTTTCCCTCTCACTGTGTGTGTCTCTCTCTCTCCTGGCAAGCACATGTACCCTAAGGCAAAACCTTAAAAAAAAAAAAAAAAAGAGGCCATCCCTTAACACCCAAACAAGAGTAGGTTCCCTGTCATTCTCTCAGTACCCTGGCTACTTCCTCCTTAGTGCAATTCATGATCTGAAGCCATCTTGGGTAATTGCCTGCCAGCTTCTGTATGGTTTGTCTTCCCCACTAGGCTCATGTGTGCAGGGAGTATGCCTGTCTCATTCACACCCAGCAGCCCAGCAGCTAGGACAGGGTTTCAGCCCCATGGGACCATACGGCATCTCTGTGCAAATTAGAAGGTGGCCCACCTCTTGGGCAGACTAGCCCATGACTCAGTGTGTTTGCAGGAACGGTGTCCTTCCTCCAGGCTGATCCAGCCCTGTGCCAGGGTGCTTGGCTTGGTGAGCAAAGCATGGCTGATGCCAGAGCTCTTAGGTAGGTGCCCTTGGCAGTGTGTGGCTAGTATGACCATACAGTGGTCAGGATGGTCAGTGGGCAGTCACTCAGCAAATGCCCTCAAGTGGAGGGCGGATGGAGAGTCCCTGGGCAGCCACAAGAGTGTGCGAGTGTCTCTGTGGCAGCTCTGCCATTGGGAGCAGGGGAAGAACTTCCCTAGCCCCCAGCCCAGAAGACAAAACTCAGTAAACTAAATGCACATAGCAGGTCCCAGCAGGCAGGCATGGCCAAGCCCCCATGAATGGATTCGTATATTTTCAGAAGTACCTGCCCCAGTCCCAAGGAGGCCCTCTGCCCTGAATCGCTCCAGGAAAGCCTCCTTCACATTCTTGGTCATCTTTCTCACCCTTATGAGGGAGTGATTCCTAATCCCTATTTGCATACTTCCCACTACAGTTTGAAGCTTGGGATGCCATTCTGCTGGCTTCTCACTTCCCAGATCAACGCCACATTCAAAGATGTTCCAGAAGGGGAAACTGTGGCAGCCTCCTCCAAGGAGGCCACGAGTGTTTCTTGCCTCTTGGTATTCCCGCTCTTCCACACTCATACCGAATGGGGCTGATTTACATAACCAGCGCGATACTGTAGAAATGATGGTGTGTACCTTCTGAGGCTAAGCCATGAAAAGAATCGTGGTTTTGACATGGGTCTCAGAACACTTGTTCTGGGGAAGTCAGTGACAGTGTTGTGAGGACTCACAAGCAACCCTAAGGAGAGGGCCACGTGGTGAGGAGCTGAGGCCTCCTGCCAACAGCTAGCACCAACTTACTAGCCATGCGAGTGACCCATGTTGGAAGGGGGCTCCCAGCCCTAGTCAAGCCTGAAGATGAATAGAGCTCTGGCTGACATCTTGACTACAACTTTATGAGAGACCCTGACCCAGACCACTCCGCTAAATCACGCATGTATTCTGACCCACTGAAACTATGTGGAATGGTCATTTTCTGTTTGCTTTAAACTGAGAAGTTTTTTGGTTTTTTGTTTTTTAAAGAGGTTTTTGCCCTAGGGTGCATGCACTTACCAGGGAGAGAGAGAGACAGTGAGAGGGAAAATGAGAAATCAACCCCCCCCCAGGGGGGATGGCCGCACCACAATCCCTTCTCCTCCGTTCTCCACCTGGGATTGTGGGCTCCCATGCACACATGCCTGGCATGAATTTCAAGCCACCTAGTCCAGGACTTCAACCACATGGGAGTCCAGTGACAATCATTACACCGTCGGCTGGCTCCGGGAATTTCTTTTTTTTTTTTTAATGCAGCAATAGATGACATACAGAAACCCAAGCACAGGCCCACCCCATGGCCTGGTGGTTATGGCAGGTAAATCCCACATGACAAAACCCAGATCCAGCAACTTGAAAAAAACACCAGGCATGTGCACGTGCATGCCCAAAATCCCAACAGGAGGGAGAAAGGGAGAAGGGGTTGTGGCATGACCATCCCACCGTAGGGGTGCTCTCTCACTTTCTCTGTCTACTGTGAGTGCACACACCCTCTGGCAAATAAAAAGACAGGAATAAGAAAAAGAAACTAGAGCACAGGATCCCTCGGAAAACAGGAGGCCAAAGGTTGGCTGAGGCTGGGAATCAAGACCAGAGACCTACTGTGCTCCTTGCTACCTGCACGCTCCTGTCTCATGCTCCTTATTCCCTCTCCTTCTCCTACTAAGCAATTAGTCACCACATCCCAGAAAGGAACTCCAAAGAGGCTGTGAAGGCCCAACCTTCCTCCCCAGCTTCCCACAACTACACCAATTCAGGCCAGTTACCACGACCAGGTCCTATCTTCATATCCATTTTGTCCCCCTTCAATCTGCAGACCGTTCTCAAGGGCAAATTGGTCATATCGTACTCCTGGTTAGAATGCTGTCCAACTCCTCCACACTTCTTATAAGGCCCTGCTTGACCTGGTCTTGCCTCTCTCTCCAGCCAGTGCCCCAGAAGGGATCTGTGCCTGTCTCACCAAACTCCAACTCTTCAAATGGATCTTGAGTCATCAAGAAGCATGTCTGGAATAGCAAAACTCATATACATCCTTTAAGACCCATTCAAGGACCAGCAGTTGGTGTAATAGCTATGTTGCCGGACTCCCATGTAGTCAACTGTGGTTTGAGTCCCAGACTCG